TGTGGTTCCACCCCCAGAGGCCATGGTCCTACCCTTTGAGGCTGAGGCAGCTCTGCTTCTCGTTTCCTTGGTCTCTCCGCTTCTATCAATTAATGCCGAAGGCAACACACTCCACCAGAAATCATTCTGCCCAAAGAGCACTCAGCTTTTTTGCTCTGGCAGCCGACCAACCTACTACTTCATTTAATGCCGGTCTCTTCTAGCAATTAATGCCTGAGGGCAACCCACTCCACCTCCACCAGAAAGCCACCTACCCAATGACATCCTGCTTTCTCCTCCATCGGTTGGTAAGGCTGTCGCTGTTTCATGACTGTCTCTCTTGGCTCTGCAGCTGCTGCCTCTCGTGCCAGGGCCTCTCATGCCAGGGCTTCTCAGGCCAGTGACTCTCATCAAGGACGCACTCCACTCCTGTTTCCACATTCTAGGTATCCATTAGAGCAGCACCGCACTCTCTGAGTACCACATTCTGTTTTGGTTACCTCATGCCAGTCTAACAAGAAATACCACAAATGAACGGCTTTAGCAAACAGGAGTTTTTTTTTTTCAATTCAGAAGGATAGAAGTCTGAGTTCAAAGTGCCAGGTTCTAGAGGCTGAGTGAAAGCCCCTCGACCTGAGGCTTCAGCTCTGCCTCTTGTTCCCAGCCCACTGCAATTGGAGGCTTTCTTCACTCAGGCAGCTGCTGAGGCTGACAAACTGAAGGTTGACAAGTAAAACGGCATAGTCCTGCTATTACTAAACCACATGGCAGGCCATTGATTTAAGTCCATTAAGAGTCCCAAGATCGTCAGACAACACGGCAGGCAGCTGAACAACTTGGCTATATGCAGAACTCAGGCATGCCAAAAGCTACAGACCATGCTTAAACCTTCTTATGTACTGTGAGCAGACCACATCCCTGAGGCAGCTACTCAGCTGCTCACAGCAGATTCCACCATGGAGTTGATTACCAGTCTCATTATGGGGAATACTACATCCAGCTGCCCAGCCACTCAAAACCAGGCCCAGCCAAGTTGACACATGACCTTAACTACCACACCTTCTCCATGCACTGTGCCACATGGGGAAGGAATTCAGAGTACAGGAATACAATGCCATGGTGTAGAATATAGGGGGAGAACAATGGGGACAGACGCCTACATTTTCTTCTAACCTAACTCCCTTTGGATAGGAGTCACAAGGTCCTAGAAGCAAGTTGGCTGAGGTAACTAGTGAGTCAAATAAAAGCTATATCCCTGCAGATTCTGTATGAAACTAAGGGCACAGAACAAGGCCAGACAGGAACAGTGACAGCCTCCCTGGGGTCTATGGGCCATATTGGAAATGATGTGCACTAATTATCTAGCACACTGCACTAAACAAACCTAGGAGTGCATATCCTCTCTCCGCCCTTTAGGTAAGTGGCCAAGATATGTTTCATACTTGATTTGGAGTTTCCACACTGCAGTATAGTAAATTACTTAGTGTGGCTTTTCTACCCATAAGTCTTTGTAAACTCTAAGGTGGGATTTTCTATGAGCAACTGAGGAGCTCCTGATTGCTGAAGCTATCCACCTGGGTTATTTCTGTTGGGAGCGGCACAATACAATGTTCTGGGAGGTTCCCACTCTCTCTCATGTGCTTAGAGTTCTGATGCTGTGACTGGCTAGTTTGACCACCCTTCCGGGCTCAAAAGGAGGCCTCCTGGAGGCAGGACTCTCTCTCGGACTGCTGGTTGAGGAAGATGTGCTGCCGAAAGAGACATACACCCCAGAAAGAGACACGTGCTGCTGGGAAAGAGGCTCAAGAGACACGCATCGCTGAGTGAGACACCGAGGGACCAGCACTGCTGGGAAAGAGACTGTGAGACTGTTGGCTGAGGGACGGTGGGCTGGGAGAGAGACTGAGCATTTTTCCTGAACTTGAATTGTAGTCTGGTGCTTCCCTAATAAACTCCATAATCTGTGAGTTCTGTGTGGCCACTGCAGCGAATTATCGAACCCAGGAGAAAGGTGGTGGTGCTTTGGGAGGAACGGTTGGAAAAAGGGCTGGAGGGAGGCAGCATGTCTGGCCTTGTAGGAATAGGCCTTGGGTTACTGCTGGTAATCCTGTCTTCCTCTTGTGGGATTAGAGGAAGTCAGAACATGTGGCCTCCTTGCCGTTTTTGCACACACCTACAATTTGACTTACCAGAAAACTTTATTTAAAAATACAAACAAAAATAGTATTTAAAAATTAAGATTTTGTCAATGTCATGAGACAAAGTGTATGTGGTGAACTTCTGTATAGAAAATGAATTTGCTCTGTAAACTTTCACCCAAATCACAATTTAAAAAAAAAAAAATTATGATTTTAGGGCACACCTACTTCCCTGGCATGGAGAGATGCTTGCTGCTCACAAGCCACGGTGGTACCTCTATATTTTTAGGTCAAATGCATCACTTAGCTATCACTCCTAAGCATGAAACTGTGCTAGTGTAAGTGGATGTGAAAGGGTCCTGCCTCAGTCACCATTCTACCCTTCCCTGTGAGAACCCAGCCCAGTCCCAATGTTAAATCTATATCATTAGTCCAGACATGACCCTGTGAATTCCATTCAGGGGCCCTTGATATTTGTTTGCCAGCAAACTTCAGTCCATGAGATCTTTTCTCTTTCCCCATCTCAATCCATCAGTGTCTAATGACATTAACCCCCAAAAGAGAAGGGTCCAGGTCTTTTTCCCTTTAGGGGGATCCTTAACCCATCAGCAAAATTACCAACTCCTACTCAGGACAGGGAGATTTGGTGGTGTAGTGCCTAAACATCTGACTGCTAACCAGAAGGCTGGTGGTTCAAACGCACCAGCCACTCCTCAGAAGAAAGACTGGGCAATCTACTTCTGTAGAGATACTATCTTGGAAACCCAAGGAGGGGTCACTATGAGTCAGAACCGACTTGATGGCAATGAGTTTGATTTTGGTTTTTTGTACTCAGGACAAGTTATATATACCAAAGGCTATGTGATGAGGTGCCACTTTTGTCAGACCACTAATAAAAGTCTTTTTATTGCCCCAGGTGTAACAGGTGTCTAGTGATCTTACATTTTCATATCTAAGGGATATACTCATGACTTTTTTCTATTTTAATGAAAATTTGTTCTCAGGCTGCTACTGGATATAAAAGAGGTTGACACCATAAATAAATAAATAGTTTGACACCATTTTAAAACTATGCTCTTACTAGTTCTCCATAACTTCTAGCATCTCTTCAAGGCAAGTATCACGTTTACCATTTTAGAAACAGAGTTTGAGACTTCCTGATCCCAAAGATCGCAGAACCAGGACTCAAAACCTCCTATGTTGTTGTTGTTGTTATGTGCCGTCGAGTCGGCCCCGACTCATAGCGACCCCTCCTTGGGTTTCCGAGGCAGTATCACTACGGAAGTAGGATTGCCCAACCTTCCTTCCGAGGAGTGGCTGGTGGGTTTGAATCGCCAGCCCTCTGGTTAGCAGGCAAGTGTCTTAGCCACTATGCTACCAGAGCTCCTAAAACCTCCTATATCTGGCTCTAAATAACATCTATTATTATGCATTTTCTTTTCACCAGGTACTTTTTAATTGACATACAGGAACATGCACAAATGACAATACAGCTTGGTGAATTTTCACAAACTGTGCATCTCCACATAGTCCCCAGAGCAAGAAACAGGCCATTTCCAGCACCCCAGAAGCCCTCCTCATGCTACTTGTCATGCTCCCCAGCTAGGAGAGTCAGTATCCTATTTTGTAACTTTGTCTTTCAACTTTATATAAATGAAACCACACATTAAAAAAAAAAAATAAGATTTTAAATAAGAAAAAAAAGTCTGTCTGTTGAATTGATACAGCCTCCCAGTTTCACCTATATTTTCTTTCAATGTGTGAAGGTTAGGATTTTGCTTCAAATTAATCTAGGGGGTGGGTGGTTGGTAGAGAAACAGGGCAGTACAGAAAAGGACATTGGCCATGGTTGATAATCATTGAAGGTAATGAGTATGGAGATTCAATACACTATTTCACAACTCTTAAATATGGAGCTCTGGTGGCATAGTACCTAAGGCATTTGACTCCTAACCAGAAGGCTGGTGGTTCAAACCTACCAGCCACTCCCCAGAAGGAAGATTGGGCAATCTACTTCCATAGTGATGCTGTCTCGGAAACCCAATGAGGGGTTGCTATGAGTAGAATCAACTCAACAGCAGTGAGTTTAGTTTTTTTGTATATGCTCAAATATTTCCCAAATACAATGTTTTATTTTTAAAAAACAATGTGTAGGTAAATAATTCACAAGGTAAACAAATATCCTTATTTTTTAAAATAGGGTAGAGGCCATATGGCATGTTTTGTAAAAAAAAAAAAAAATTCTATCACACTATGTAATTCTGGCATAGAGGGTAAGACATTTGGCTACTAACCAGTCAGCTGTTCAAACCACCAGCTGCTCTGCAGGAGGACGATGAGGCAATCTATTTCCATAGAGATTTACAGCCTTAGAAACTCAATGGGGGTCACTTTGGGTCAGAATTGACTCGATGACAGTGGATTTGGTTTTTGGTTTGGTTATGTATTCAATAGATTCATAAGAATAGTATGGATTCTCCAATGGATGAAACATTTGGGAATAATCATTCCAGAGAATTAAATGAATTTATGTGAATATCCTTTATTCTTTTTAAAAAGTCACCCACAACACACACTGGCTAACAACGTTGGGCAGAGTTAGCACATAGTGATCACTGCTCCCACGACTTTCTTTCTTTGACTTAGTCAATCACTTGGACCACCTGAGTTCTTCTGATTTCTCAGTGAACTACGCTTGTGTTTCACGCAGGAATCGACTCAAATCAAACACTGCTCCTCCCACTGCTAGGCAAAGCTGCTTCTGTTGCTGCCAGCACAGAGGTGTTTGCAGAGGCAGGACAGAAGAGAACTCTGTCAGGAGGGACAACATCGCCAAACACGATTTTTCTGGGCTGAGCAGGTAATGAGGATGAGGGACTCTCCTTAGTACTCTATGTGGAAAGGGTAGTCTTTGTGGTTTTCAGATCTGAAAACAAATCAAAGATAGAAACAAAGAATGATTATAATTTTTTAAGAGAAACATTTTCAATGATACAGTTACGAATTTTTAATCTCCCCCACGTATGAAATTAGTCTTTGGCTTCATTCAGTGGCCCGAGTTCAAAAAGGACAGAATAGAACTGCACCAGAGTGCATCTAAGGCTATAATCTCTGTGGAAACAGATCACCACATCCTTCCAGCACAGCAGCTCATGGGTTTGAACCACTGATCTCTCAATTAGCAGCCAAGCACTTAACCACTTGCCCCCAGGGCTCCTTTTTTAAGATTTAATAACCTAATATGTCTATAATCAATATTGATTTAGGAACTAGTCATCCAATCTGTACATTGCTTCCTCTAATTTTAAAAGGAAATAAAGGTGTCATACTTACATGGGGAATTTGGCCATTCGGAAATTCCTGTCCAGGCAGAGAAGCTCATCTACTTCTTCTTCTGTTAATTCAAAATCAAACACCTACAGCCAAAATAAAATGTTTGGCAAATTCACTTCAGCAGTATTTATTTCAGCAGCTGTTATGTGCCAAGCACTGCACTATCTCTGTGGGGGACACAAAAATGTAAAAGGAACACTTCGTTAGGCATCTGAAACTCCTACATTCCCAGAGTACACTTTGATTTTGATTATTTGACTGGTGTTGCCTTAGTCTAGGCTAATGTTAGGAAACCTTGGAAAGATGGGATAAAATATTGCAATAATCTCACAGGTGTAAGGAATATATAGGAATAGTAGAAAGGCACAGCAAAGAATTTTTCCCACTGCTCAAAAAAAAAATTGTTCCATACACCTCTACTAATCAGGGAGTCGATTGGTCCCTGAGACTAAATTCTAACGTATCTATGTCACAGTATAAATTATTTATATGAGCAATCACTTTCTATTCCTTCTAATATAGTATTCTAACCTACTTCCCTCATGTTGGTTTTTTTTTTTTTTTTTTGCCTCAAACACACTTGAGGAATATGATCCCCTCCTGTAATATTTTTCATGAGAAAGTGTCAACCCCTCTGTGCCTGGAGAGAGTTACTCCAGAGGAGTAAACAAAAGAAGGTAGTAGGGTGATGCCAATATGCCCTCTGGAGGGTGACAGTCCACAGGACCCCAACCTCTACCCCACAGGAGATGCACTATACTGGAGAAATCAGTCACATCATATGCAGGTGATAGAATAGTGTCCCCCAAAATTTCGTGCCCACCTAGAACCTCAAAATGTGACCCTCCAGAGGGCATATTGGCATCACCCTACTACCTTCTTTTGTTATTTCCAAAAAGGTCACGTTTTGAGGTTCTAGAGTCTTGGTAGATGTGATTAATTAAGATGAGGTCATACTGGATTAGGGTAGGTTCTGAATCCAATGACTTGTGTTCTTATAAAAAGAGGAGAGGACACACAGAGATACAGGGAAGGTGGTCATGTGACAATAGAGGCAGAGACTGGAGAGATACAGCTACAAGTCAAGGAACACCAAGAACTGCCAGAAGCCAAAAGAAGCTAGGAAGATGCAAGGAAGACTCCTCCCCTAGAGCCTTCAGAGAGAGTATGGCCCTGCTGACACCTTGATTTCAGGCTTCCAGTCTCCAGAACTGTGAGACAATACATTTCTATTGTTTTAAGCCACTCAGTCTGTGGTACCTTGTTATGGCACCCCAAGGAAACTAACATGCAGTGAAACCTGTGAGAGCCGGAACTCATTGGGACTGCTTTGTTTTTCCAGGACTTACAAGTTTTCCATCTTTGACAAGGTACAGTCTTAACCACTTTTCCATTGCTCGTTTTAGTGGGAAATATTTGAATTTTCCTTCTCTGACAGGTTTCCACCTTATGTAGGTTCTGGTGTCAATAGGTTTTACCATACCTTGTAAACATAATTCTGGCAGGTGGAGAGTAGGGAAGCGAAGGAGCATAGTTTGGATTAAGGCTTAAACAGCAGTTTTAGAAGAGTCTCAACAAATTCAGGCCTGGAGCAGTGTCAGTCCACCATTACTGAGTGGGTATCTGGGGCTGGGAGAAAAGGTATTAGGCTCAGTCCACCAGCCTCTCCACTGAGGGCTAGCACTCTTGCCTTACTCAACACTCCTTCGGGTTCCCTATTTGATCCTATTTACCCAGCTCCTAGGCAGGGTAAGTGCCTATTTCAGCCCATGTGCTCCTCTTGATATGACGATACTTCAACCTCCTCTTCTTATAACACTTCTTTCTGGTCTCCATCCTCAGCCTATCAAATCACATCTGCTTTTGGTCATTCAGGGCCACACATCTGCCTGATTCTGCCTGACTGGACCAAGAACAGCATCTCCGTTCAGTATGTAGCAGGTCTAATACAAAGGAACAGGGCATTTAGCTTTCATGCCTAAAGTCCCTGAAGTCCACTTACTGCCACAAGGCCATGAGACCCCATGGCACTGACAGCTACAATGGAAGAATGTAGAAAGTGTCTTAGCTTTCACACTTGCAATCAAACCTGAGCACAATCCTGCCAAATTCTGAACTCACTCACACAGTTATGAACCTCTGTGGATATTCAGGAGATGAGGCTTCTCACACCAGAGAGGTTAGAGGATCTTCTTCACATATGCCCTTCCAGGAGGTATAACCAGGAATCCTGGCTGCATTGCAGGAGACAGAAGGCACCTTAGCTGGCTCCCCATGTGGACAGAGCCAGTCAGCCACTAACTATCAAATTCTAACAGCTGGCCCAAGATTTGATGTATAATTTCAAGAGGCCCCTCAGAAGTTATATGAAAGAGTATAGTTTATAGCTGAGCCAAACTCACAGACACTTTTCAGGCTTAAAGCCTCATTGACTGGTCTCCTTTTGCTGGTCTGCAACACTTAAAGACCAGGGCATCTTAGGAAGGATGGTAAGTGTATATAGGTAGGAGGTGGGAAGGGGAACACATTGCCCACTGGCAGGTGCCCAGTAGACATGGCACTGTGAGCACTACACCTACATGTGAGTACTCACCCTTCTTTTCCAAGATCTCCTTATCTTAGGTATCTTGCCTCTACTAATGGGAAATACTACACTTGCCAATAATGAAGCTGTGCCCCACCTCAACCACCCCAATAGCCACAAAAAGCCTGAGGGTAATGATCAATTAATACTTACTGAGCAGTTGTTTTGTACTATTAGCCTAAACACTAGGGATACAGTAGCACCCTCGTGGAGCTGCTGAGAAGCTCAAAGACCCACATGATGGTAAATTTCTGGGCATCACAGAACTCTATCTACTGAAGATCCAGTTGCCTAGTTAATCCCAAGCTCACACAGTTTATGGTGATATAACTAATGGGTATGGGTTACTAAGAATACCTAAACCTACTGCCATTAAGTCGATTCTGACTCATAATGACCCTATAAGACAGGTGAGAACTGCCCCATAGTGTTTGTTTCCCACACCTTATATCTTTACAAAAGCAGATTGCCTCATTGTTCTCCTGTGGAGCAGCTGGTGGGTTAGAACCACTGAAATTTAGGTTAGCAGCTGAATGCCTAAGGATACCTATCACCCATGAAATAGTTCCAAGGATGACTTCAGTGACATTGATGATGTTAATAAGGATTACCATCTAATATGATCAGATGCTTCTATATACCAAGACACTAGTCCAACCACTTTAAGGAGTTCTGGTGGTGTAGTGGTTAAGGCATTTGGCTGCTAACTCAAAGGTCAGTGGTTCAAACCCACCAGCTGCTCCATGAAGAAAGATGAGGCAGTCTCCTTCCATAAAGATTGATTGCCTTAGAAATCCAATGAGGGTCGCTATGAGTTGTAATCGACTTGATGGCAGAGTTTGGTTTGGTTTTTGGAAGCTAATCACTTTATATGCATTATTATATTTAATCCTCACAACAACTTTATGAGATAGGTATTCTGATTAACCCTACTTTACTGATGAAAAACACTAAGCTTAGAGAGGTTTACACCACTGTGAAGTGATGGGTTGGGCTTCTGGAATTCCAAGTCTTAGTAGTCACTGTGCTATAGGCTGTGTCCTCAGACAGAAGCCATATATAGTTCCAGAAGCAAATTCACACACTTCTGAAGTTCTTTGGCTGAGGTAAGAAAAATAAAATAAAACACTGTCCTCAAAGGGACCATTGCCTCTAAGTGTTTTGGACATATTCTGGCAAATAAAGATACCTATCCAGTCAGTCTTTAACCCTACCTCTCAAAACAAACTAGGTAGGAATCAGGATCAAAAACCTTTCCAACACAACACTCCAGGCAACCATCCCAATGACCAGTTAAGTTAGCCTCCCTGTGGCAGACATTAGCTTGCTGCCCACCAAACCTGCTTCCTCTTCCTCCTGAGCATATAACATCCCAGACTCCCTTGTAGCTTGATGTGGCCATGTGTCTGTATTCTGCCAGTTCGGTGAGAGTGGAAATGATACGACCCATAAAAATCTCCTACATAAGATCTTTTCTCGTTCCTCATCTGCATGATGAACAGAAAAAACCCCAAGGTCCTGCAGGAGAGTGGATCCCTAAGAGGGAAGAAGCCTAGGTCCTCGAATCACTGAGTAAAAGGCTAACTGCCAGCACCCATAGTGAACCACAGTTTATCTAGAGAAATAAACCACTATTGCATTAAGGTACAGTGATCCTGGGCTTGTTTTTATAGTAGTTAACCCACCCTCATTAATACATGATCCTAAATCCTTCTAAATGTTGTTGTTGTTGTTATGTGCCATCGAGTTGAACCTGGCTCATAGTGACCCCTCCTTGGGTTTCTGAGGCGGAAGTAGATTGCCCAACCTTTCTTCCGAAGAGTGGCTGGTGGGTTTGAACCGCCAGTCTTCTGGTTAGCAGTCTGGTTAGGCACTACACTACCAGAGCTAAATAGAAGAAAGAAAACACCTTCCTGAAAATTCTCTTGAATCTGCTTCGGATTGACAGATTTGGGAATCACTATTACATCCCTCTGGATCTGAAATCGGATCAATATCTGTAGGGAGAAAAAAAAAAAGTCTAATATCACAAGGGGAAATCATATGGAATCAAATCTACGTAATTTTCCTAACAGTTTGAGTTTTATTGTGCAGTAAAAGTCCAAAATTCAGGGACAATAGGAGCATTTATTACAAGCTCTTTTATACCAAAGTGATTTAGAAATCAAATCAGCATTTTCTAAACAGTTCTACCAGTACATCTGTAATGCCTACCACTGGCCTAAGGAGAAGGTCAGAAGACCTGCTACACCTTAATGAGACTTCATTAACAGGTGTCCAATCAGCCAAACAAATCTTAGAATAAGAAAGAGTTTAATAAACTACTTCTCTGTTCCACTTTATTTTAAAAAATAAACCAACCCGTGGCCATTGCATGGATTCTGACTCATAACAACCCTACAGGACAGAGTAGAGCTGCCCCATAGGTTTTGCAAGGCTGTAAAAATCTTTACAAAATCAGACTGCCTCATCTTTCTCCCACGGAGCAGCTGGTGGGTTCAAACCACTGACCTTTCGGTTAGCAGCCAAATGCTTTAACCATTATGCCACCAGGGCTCCTTTGATCCACTTTATACTAAATATCAATTCTGTTGGTGGGGACAGAGATGACTGGGAACTCTACAAGTAGAAAATCACCCTCTGAGTCTTGATAAGCAAGATTGAGTAGCTTGACTAAATGGGAATATGGTGGTAAACATTTGAAATTTGCAATTAGTCATCAACTCATCAAGAGCAAGCTAACCCCTGCCTCCTCCACAAAGTCCAATGACTCCAAGAGGATGTGAAAAAGTCTACTGCCAGACAAGCAAACAGCCCTCCATCCACATACCTGAGCTGGAGACTTATGGTATTTCGGTGCAATCCTCTTAATCAGAGGATCATCCATCAGGTCAGCCCCCTCACTAGAAAGAGACCAGGGCAGGTTAGTGAGCTAAAAGATTGAACACATAAGCTTCTTTCTTTAAAAAAAAACACAAAAAACTTTCTTCAACGTAAACAAAATAGATTTTTAAACAACACAGAAAAGCATATCATCCTAAACCCCACCATCTAGAAATAACCACTCTTAACACTTTTGGTGAATGCAGCTACACATTACCACTTTTCATGTATATTTTGTGCTTTTTCTGAAGAACGATGTAGCAATATCTGAGCATATCAGGCAGTGGATTCTTAGGGCTTTAGCCCTGGAATCCAGACTAACCATAAATGCTGACATTTAAGGACTCTCTGATTTCACAGCTTTCTATTTTAGACCTAGCATACTGCCTGTTGTTGTTGTTGTTGTTGTTATGTGCTGTTGAATTGATTCCAACTCATAATGTCATGGATTGAATTGTATCCCAAAAAAATATGTGTCAACATGGCTGGGCCATGATTCTTAATAGTTTGGCAGTTGCATAAGGATGTAAACATCCCCCATGATGTGATCTGATGCGATCAGCCAATCAGTGTGGTAAGAGGATGATGAGATGGTGAGATGTAACCCCTTAATCAGATCACAGCCATGATTCAATGTAAGGGGAGTTTCCCCGGAGTGTGGCCTACAACACCTTTTATCTTAACAAGAGATAAAAGAAGAGAGAAGTGAGCAGAGAGGGAGGGACCCACTACTACCAAGAAATAAGAGCTAGAAGTGAAGGGTATCCTCCTGGACCCAGTCAAAGATTGGTGCCAAGATACATGGAGATCTCCAGAATACTGGGCCCAACGTGCTGACAGGAGACAAGGACCTTCCCCCAGAACTGACAGACAGAGGAAGCCTCACCAAGAGCAGGCACTCTGATTTGGCCTTGTAGCCTCCTAAACTTTGAGAAAATAAATTGGTGTGTGTTAAAACCATCCACTTGTGATATGTCTGTTACAGCAGCACTAGACAACTAAGACACATACAGCAGAACTGTCCTATAGGGTTTTCTAGGCCATAATCTTTACAGGAACAGCTTGCCAGGACTTTTCTTCCATGGAGCTGTTGGGCGGGTTTGAACCTCCAACCTTTCAGTTAGTAACTGAGCTCTTTACTCATGCCACCGGGGCTCCCTGCATAGTTCCTATGGCACTATTAAGAAATGTGTGCTGACAATGGTCATATCTCAGAAAAGCTCATCTCAAAGGCCATGAAAGAGTTCATAATGTGAACATGTGGAACCTTTATTACAAGAGATTTTGAAGACTATGACTTCCGTCCAGGCAAAAGAGGAATAGGTCTAATAACTCTGGAGAGTGAGCCACTGTTTTAACCAATATTTATTAAGCAGTTACTAAGTTTCAAGCACACAGCTACATATGGTCCTCAAAGTCTACTGAAGGAACTAAGCAGAATCCCTTTATTTCCAGCCAACAAACCAGGGCTTCAGTGAGCTTCTCTTCGTGTTAATGGCTCCTACCACTCACCTAACCTTGGGGTTCCTCCACCCAAAGCTTAACTGTGGAATATGACCCAGTCTTCTAGGAACTCCCCAGTTGCTACCAAGTTCACACACATGCCCCATTTCATATGGAAAGCACACAGGTAATAAATAAAAATTTAAATAATTTCAGTATCCAATATATCCCAGGCACCAGAGTTAAGGACTGAGAATACAATAATGAGTAAGATACAAAGATACAGTCTCTGCTCTCAAGTAGCAGTCTAGTGGAAGAGACTAGAAACAATGACAAGAGAGTGTGACTAGGACTGTGAATGAAATATGGACAAGGGGAGTCAGGGAGGCTTCCTGGAGAAGGTGATGTTGAACTGGACCTTAAATCAGAAACTGGAGTTAGTCAGACTTAAAAATAATAACATTTCCAAGTAAAGAGAAAAATATATGCAAAGGCATAGACACTGCAAAGGCATAGACACTACAAAGAACATGTCCTACAAGGAACCACAACTAGTTTCATATGGTTGATACATAAAATGTTTGTGGGGAAGGGGAAAAAATGAAGCCAGAGGCAGGCAAAGGCCAGCTAAGATGAGCCTCAGATGCCATGCCAAGAACGGAAGAATTTTAAGCAGGCAGGAAGGTGAGATGATCATGCAGAGACAGCTCCCTTCAGTAGCCATGTGGGTAAAAGATTGAAACGGTAGAAATCTGGGAGGGAGGGAAGGAGTTAAGAGGCTATTATAATAACCTAAGGGAACTCTTAACTAGAGCAGTGATGATGAAACTAAAACCCATTGCCGATGAGTTGATTCTCACTCATAGCGATCCTACAAGACAGGGCAGAACTGCTCCATAGGGTTTCCAAGGCTCCACGTAACCTTCACAGAAGTCGACTGCCACATCTTTCTCCCACAGAGCAACTGGTGGGTTCAAACCACCCACCTTTCAGTTAGCAGCTGAGCACTTAACTACTGTGCCACCAGGGCTCCTTGATAGTAAAACTAGAGATCAAGAAACAAAACGTTTCTGCCAGAATAACTGACAGATCTTGGTGGTTGAGGGTTGGATTGAGGGAAATGGGAAAGGATTGATTTCCAAGTATGGAACACAGTAGGAAAATGACATGTAGAATTTGAGTTAAAGACTGACATGTCTGTGAAATATCTTGAGAGACTGGTTTAATAGCAGACCAGATGTACTAATCAAGAAATCAGTAACAGAAGTTAACTTCAAACTAGTTAAGTCCCTTGAAAGGCCACTGCTCCTCTCAAGCACCCCTCTCAAAATGACCCTCTCCTTCTGGCTTCTAGTAACAGCTCTCTCTCATTGGTGCATAGGGTCTAGAGGCATTACCTATGCCAACTGTGAGCTCCCTTATGGTTTCTCTACACCTTGCGTATATCTTTGTTAAACCTTCCTTGAACCATCCAAACTAACGGAGAGCGGGGTATCTACCTCCTGCTAGGGCCTTAACTAACATGATCACCTGAGGCATCTTACCGTGAACCACCAAGAGGACGGTAAGCAGTCACAGAGATATTTCTGGCTTGACAAAAACTAATCAGGTTCCTCTGATTAAGATATGGGTGGCACTCGATCTACAAATAGAATCACAGTTACAGAAAATATTCAGACTAATAGTTTACTAGAAAAACTCTAAAAATAAAGTCAAGAGACAACACTAATATCTTGGTTCTGTCATTGACTAGCTCTGTGATCCATCTGTAGGCCTGAGCGTCTCCATCCATAAAGTAAAAAGGTTAGACAAGCACACTGCAAGATTCTAGTCAGCACATGAACCTATGGTCTCAAGGAATACCTGTGTCATGTGACTGCTTAAATATCACCTTCTCAGTGAAGCCTCCCCTGATTGCCTTACTTAAAAACTGTAACTCTCCATGGGAGGAAGGGGAAAAGGAGGACTCACTGCTAAGGGGATACTGAGCTTCTATTAAGAATGATGGGAAATTTTGGAAACATAGTTAATGGTAATGGTTGAACAACATGATAAACAAAACTAATGTCATTGAATTGTACATGTGAAAAATGTTGAAAAGGCAAATAATGTGTTGCCTATATAGTTACCACAACTAAAAAAAAAAAAAAAAAAACCCTTCAACTCTCCAATGTCCTATTCTCCCTTCTCTCCTTTATTTTCCCCTATAGCACTTGTCACTCTCTGACATCTTATATACTTTAATGATTTGCTCATTGTTTATGTCACTAGAAAACAAGCGCCTGAAGGAAAATATTTTTATGTGTGTTGTTCACAGATGTTATCCCCAGTACCCAGGGCAATGCAGACATCTAGAAGATGTTAAATAAATATTTGCTGAATGAATAAATGAAAGTGGGGAGCTATATGTGACCTATACATGCTATAGGTGACTCCCACTAACATTTTAAGGCACTTGAGAGCAGGATATCTGTCTTCCCCACATTCTATGAAGTCTCCTGCACAATTCCAGGTTGCAAGTAAACCTAAAACAAATACTTGTTTTACATGAACAGAAGAGGACTATCAATAGTGCCTCTGGGGTAGGAGAAGCAGGCTCTCAAGAACATGCAGAGCACAGCACAGCAAAATCAGCAGTCAGGAAAGCCACCAAAAGAGAAGCCTGCCTGGGCATCTCCCACGGACTCAGGAGCTCTGTCCAGTCGCATTGTGATTTGGGGAACTAGCCCGCCTTTCCTTTTGGTCAGGTCTGAGCTCTCCCCAGCTAAATGTTTGTTTGCAGAAATGACAGACACTGGGCATCACAGTGTGTTGAATAGATGCTGTAGAAAGAGTGAAGCAGAGGGATGGAGCCAGTTGAGGTGGCCTGGAGGAGGTTTGTTGGGCACCACCCTTTGTCCTCACTCCCTGAGTTTGGAGGAGTGCTGCAAATGGCTGCACACACTCCTGAGCTTTCTTTAGGAGGTCCCCATAAAATGCAAAAGCCAGAGTTCTCTTGTAATAGACACTACAAAATAATATATTTATTAAAAAAAAAAAAAAAAGACTGACAAAAAAAGAAAGAAAGAAGCCTGCCTGGCTTTCTGAAAACGTTTCCAAGGACCCTGCATTCCTGGGTGTTCACAACCCTAGCTAGAAAATACCCTTTCCAAACCCACCTCATTCCCATAAACAAGGCAACAATCTTTCCTAGTTATTTAAAGTGCCACTCAACAAAAAAAGCCAGCCCAAAACAGAATATATTACACATGTAAACAGATTCTACGTGTATGGTGAAACCCGTGAGAGGTAGAACTGAATGGGACAGTATCATTTTCCCAGGTCTTGTTAGTTTTCTACCTTTGACAGGCGCAGCCACCACTTTTCTATCACCCTGTATATAATGGAAAATATTTGAGTTTTCATTCTCTGAAAGATTTCCACCTTACAAAGGTTTGGATAATTATCACTCTCTGTAGATAGTGACTAAAACTGGACATGAGAGGTGTTTCTGGACGCTAAGGATATTCTGTTTCTTGTTCTGGGTGCTCACTTGAATCTGTTACTTATGAAAACTCAATGCGCCCTGCACTTTATGACTTACCCCCTTTTCTGTGTGTATAAAAACAAGTTTACTTATTAAAGGGAAAAAAAAAGTGATGCTCTATGTTTAATAGCCTCAAACTGGAAACTATCTAAGTGCCCATCAACAACAGAACAGGTAACTATCCTACTATGGTATTCACACAATGGAATACTACACAGAAGTAAGAACATACGAACCACAATCATACACAAATATAGATTAACAAACAACATTCAGTGAAAAGCCAAACACAGAAGAGGAAATAATGTATTATTTTATTTATATAAAGTTCAAAAACTAATCTATATGCTAGAAATCAGAATGGTGGTTACCCTTTGCAGAAACAGGGCAGGGTGACTAGAAAAGAGCATGGTTGGGGGCGCTTCTGGAGTAGTGGTGATGTTCTCTTTCTTAATCTGGATGCTGGTCACAGTTTATGAGAATTTATCAAGCTCCATTCTTGCATGTGCATTTTATGCCTTAATAAAAACTTTAAGTACCACAAAAATGTTATTTCGACATATAAAACCAGTCAGTCAGTCTAGAAATGCAATAAGCCTTCCCTCAGAAGTCATTTCTCTGCATTGAAGGAAAAAAGTACAATACACCAGTATAGCCAGAGTCTGAACCTGGTCTGAGATTCATTCCGTTATCCATCCCTTTATAGCTGCCAATGCATGGGCTAGAAAAGGGGGGAGGAAATGTCCCTTAAGTTTTCACAGAAGCACTATAATTGAGGGGTCTGCCACAACTTTTCACCAGTTCTGAACAGACTTGGTAACATACCCCATATCTGCAAGTGGAAAAATAAGTTGTAGCTCCAGCCCCACCTTACAATATAAATGCCCCAGTCAATAAAGTATCAGGAAAAAAAAACGAAAAACCTCAATTGTCTATTCACTCCTTCACTTGCCTAAGATCATAAGTTACAATTGTGACAGCCTTAAGGAAAAATGCATATTTATGCATTTCTAGTATAGCCACATGGATGTAATAACTGAAAAGACAACTACACTCATTAAATCCTTTTACAATGTGTAGAAGCTCACCTGGTTAGTTATTGGCTTGACTCTCAAATCAGACTTACTCAAAAGTCTCTCAAGCTGCTCATGGTTGAAGTTTGAAACCCCAATGTACTTCACTAGCCCTGCAATCACCAGGTCTTCCATAGCCTAAAGAAGAACAAAGAATTACTTCTGGTGTATAAGTTCTGCCCATTTCACTGATAATCCATATCCCTCGCCTGCTTTGCACAGTATTTAAAACTCAGTCCACCGAATATTCTTCTAAATACAGGTAGTTCCCCCTTATGAACCACATTCATTTTTGAGTATGTCATTGAGTCAAATTTTAGGTCAATCAGAACAAGTGCATATGGTTCTTATTTAGCCTTACTTTAGTGCAAGAAGGAGCTCTGGTGGTGTAGTGCCTAAGGCATTTGACTGCTAACCAGAAGGCTGGTGGTTCAAACCCACCAGCCACTAATTGGAAGGAAGGTTGGGCAATCACTTCTATAGTGATACCGCCTTGGAAACCCAAGGAGGGGTCACTATGAGTCAGACCCAACTCCGTGGCAGTGAGTTTGATTTGGTCTGGTTAGTGCAAGAAAAGGCTAGACGCCTTTTCCATGATTTAAAAGCTGCACTTGCAACAAGTGAAGGTGATTGTGTTGAGGAATCTGTTGCCAGTAGGGGTTGGTTAATTGTTTCAAAGTGAAGGCAAATTTATATAACATTAAAGGGCAAGTACAAGTTGTCCCTAAACAAGTTGTCCCTAAAGCAAATGTTTATTGTTATACAATAAACCTAGGGATTTACTGTATTTTACCTGATGCTTCAAAAGCATTTTGACACTCAAAGTCTACTCCCAATTCCATCACTTAATAGCTGGGAGATCTTGGGCAAGTTCTATATCACTAGGCTTCAATTTCCTCATCTGCAAAATGGGGTCAAAATTGTCTCTATCAAGGAGTTGTTTTTAAGGATTACACAAAATAATGCATATAAAGCATTTAGCAAAGGACTAGATTTAGCAAACACGCCACACATTTTAGCTGTTACTATTTTAGCTGTTACTATAATGCATGGCAAGTATGGGCAGTCCCTGATTACCAACAAAATCCACTCCTAAGTATGTCTTTGGGAGCTCTGGTAGCATAGTGCCTAAGGCACTTGACTGCTAACCAGAAGGCTGGTGGTTCAAACCCACCAGCCACTCCTCAGAAGGAAGTTTGGGCAATCCTACTTCCGTAGTGATACTGCCTCGGAAACCCAAGGAGGGGTCGCTAGGAGTCGGGCAGACTCGACTGCAAATAACAACAAGTATGTCTTTACATTTGTATGTGAGTCAGAACAGATGCACACACTTCTTATTTGCCTTACTTCAGTTCAAGAAAAGACTGGAAGCCTTTTCCATGATCTAAAAGCTGCATGTGCAGCAAGTGAAGGTGACTGTGATGAAGAATTTGTTGTGAGTAGGAATCGGTTCAATCCTTTCTAAGTGAGGGCAGATTACAGAGCATTAAAGGCAAGCACGAGTTGTCCATACTGTCACCCATGACTGCCTGTGTGTTCCTTGCTGATTTTATTTGCTTACCTTTCCTTCCACCTAGATAGAATCTTAAGCACAGGGATGTATCTTCATTTTCTACCCTATCCTTACCATTTAACATGATAAGGAACTTGAGGGCGGAGCAACTCAAAGCTTTGTGCTGTTCAATGACCAGCAAGCCAGACTGCCCCTCAGCTTCAGAAAGAGTATGGCTTTTGCCACTCTAAGTAATCAATAGGAAGAACTGAGTGGCCATGAGGTCAGCACCAAATGAGTCAATATGCATCCTTTATGGATTCAATTCTACAACAATCAGCCTCACTTATACAAATAAATAACCTTAAGTTTATCCCAAACCTTTTAAGAGAGCAATTCAGTGTGACAGAAAAGTATGGAACACCTGGGTGCTAATCCTAATTTCTCAGACACCTTGGCTAATCTCTGTTGTTTCACTGGTAGATATGTTTAAAAAAAAAAAAGAGAGAGAGAGAGAGAGAG